TTTGCCTTTTCTCAAGGCAGCAGGACCGAGGAAATCCCAAACATATACAGAAATCAGGGTCACATAAAAATATGGTGCAACTTATCCTCCTATATCCCTGTCGAAATCGAGGTCTGAGTAACTACCGTGTGTTGGATGTGCAGTGATTTGTGCTGCTCTACTCCTAAGCCCAGTTGCAGAGTTTACGAGTGGAGCAGTAGAATTTCTGGACAGCAGCGCTCTGGATTTGGTCCCAAAAGTGACTTTAAAGGAAAGTTTTGAGATAGAGAAGAAAATGCAAGTAGTGAAACGCTGTGAGATGCTTGCCAGAGCCTTAAAAATACAGTTAGTTTTTTGTTGTTGTTGTGGCTTTTGGGGAGGGCTTAGAGTTGGTTTTTAATTATTTATTTTTCCTTCAGGAGCGCAGTAACCTGGGCAGTGAGCCCTTCAGGAACAGTCTTGCATTTATTACGCTTCCTATGAGCCAAACTTCCCAGTCTTGTTTCATATGACAATCTGAGGGTATAGTATTTGCAGGCATTATATTTCTGTGCAGGTCTGTTACCAAAAGGTAGTAAAGAATATTTGTGTGCATCATTTATGATAATTGTTAGTAAATACCCAGGTGCCAAAGCTATGCTCAGAATAGACAAATGTCTTTCAGCTCTTTGTGCCTTAGTATGTCCTTGCTGCAAAGATTGTAAATTGTTGTGCAAATACCCGCTTCTGTGATATAAACTATGTTTAACTAGTGTGAAACAATTTATTTGGCTGAAGGTAACTTTGAAAGCACAGCTTAAACCAGTTTAATTGCTCTTAGTTTCAAAGGGTTTGAAAAAAAGAAGATAATGTTTGTGTATTTGTTAAGTCAGTGTTGGATCGTAAGGGTTGAGTCTTTACCCAGAATGTTGCTTAAATTAGGGGAAAATTCTCTTAAGCAAAACAGAAGTTTTATCTTAATGTTCCTTCAGGTAGAAGGAGTACCTATTTCAGATAATTGCTCAAGCATTTGCGGTCTTCTTAGGAAGTCAAGAACCAAGTGTAATACTAAGTATTGCAACTCTTCAAATTTCTGGTTTTTTTGGAAGTTGAGACTTGTTAGCTGTGGTTTGTGCGTAATGTTGATACTTTAAACTTTCTAGTAAATGACAATATACTTGTTTCTTAAGTGCAAGTGCTGGTTAGAAAGCTTGGAAGAGGCTGAGTTGGGGTTTGATTTTTCTCACTTAGATGTATTCTTTGTTTATATGAACCATTTAATGTTACAGAAAGCAAGCTGATGAGCAGATCTGGGGATAAAAAATGGTTAATACTTGTTTCTGCAGCTCTGTTGATTCTTATAACAAAAATATAAAAATGTTTTTGACTTTCTGTTCAGGTTTTGACTCCAAATTCTACAGTAGAAGCCAGGGCATGTTAAATCGTTGTAGGCCAAGTGGGAATGAGGCTTATTTCTCTCTACTGATACTTCTTTTTTCTACCATGTTCAGATTCTGCAAGGGAAAACAGTTAGCATCTACTGCAGAGTATTAGTGAATTTACTTTTTCCTTTATTTCTAAAAGGCAATATGAGCTACCTGCTGCCACGGCTGGAGCAGAGTTCACAACACTAATGAGGGTGGCTGCTTTAACAAATAGCATGACTGGGGAACACATCACTGTAGAGGCAGGAATGGTGTCTGGAGGAATGATCTGCAAGGACACATAGTGATAGGACAAAGGGGAATGGCTTTAAACTGAAAGAGGGGAGATTTAGATTAGATATTAGGAAGTTCTTCCCTGTGAGGGTGGTGAGGTGCTGGCACAGGGTGCCCAGAGAAGCTGTGGCTGCCCCATCCCTGTCCGTGTTCAAGGCCAGGTAGGACAGGGCTTGGAGCAACCTGCTGTAGTGGAAGGTGTCTCTGCCCCTGGCACAGGGGATTGGAGGTAGATGATCTGTAAGGTCCCTCCCAGTCCAAACCATACTGTGATTGTATGGTCTGTGCTAGGGGTGTTGGGTTAGATCAGTGTTTGCCCTTGAAGTGTTTTTTTGGTAGGCAGGGAAACTTGGAGCAAGTCTTGGATATTGGAGCTACACTACTTTACTCGATTGTGGTTACTATGGTTATGGTTTGCTGTGGTTAAAAATGTGCTGCTCTACTTGCTTTGCTTGGCTTTTTTGTAAAGGGTTTGTAACCAGTGTATTCTGGCTGTAGTGGCAGCATGTGTCTTATTTGAAAGATTTTATTGCCATTATTATTATTACTATTCGTATGCCAGTTGCTTAACTTACCTGTTCTTTAACCTTCCTAAGCTTGCTCCTAGCATGTGAAATGGCCAAATTAGGAATTGGAAAGTGAATGAGTTATTTGCATTATTTAAAATGAATAAATGAATCTGTCCTAGTAGATGTTGAAACATGCTCGGTGTTGACAGGAGTCTCAGCAGCTTTCTGCTTCCTTCCTTGGTGTGGCAGGAGAAACCCCATCAGGAGGGCTGGTGCCCCTTCCTGCAGGTCCCTTGTCTGCACACAAGGCTGCCTGCTCTCTTCCCTTTCAGTTTGGGGTTTGCCCTTACCAGAGAGCCATCCTGGCATATAAGCAGAAGTATGCAAATAATGGGGTTTGGAGAAGTTGTGCTTGTTGTGTCAGTGGCTGGCCAGAAAGTGATAAAACTTAATAAATGTACTGTGCTGTCACAGATAAGGAGCAGAAGAGCACAGGGCAAAGTGTCTCTGTAGGGGCAATTCATGGCTGGTCTTTTTTTGATTCCAGCCTTCTCTAGGGAAATGCAATGTGCTTTATTTATTATTTTTTTATTATTAGTTTAGTTGAAGTTTCCATTTTACAATTTGTATCTTCACTCAAGCAGTGCAGCAACAGGAACGGCAGCTCGGTCACTGTGGAGATTGGATGTTAGCCTTAGGAATAACATCACAAGCAGGCACATCAGAGTCGTGCAAAGTACAAAACTTTGAAGGTGCTCTCAGATTCTTGAAGTGGGATTTCCCATGAACGGCTCGGGTTTCTGGCTTAGCTGGTTGGGTAAACAGCAAATAACTGTAAGTCTGAGCAGAAGTGGCAGCTTCAAGCAGTGAGGTTAATCATGTATAATCATGTAGGGAGATGGTATCTGCCCTCTCTTTGAAGATCTCTTGATACTTTATCTCTTCTTTTTCCTTTTTTTCTTTTTTTGAGTAGGTGGTTAGCAGGTTGCTTGACATAAGCTACTGTTGTCAGCTTTTAGTGTGGTTGCATCAATCTGAAAGTCTTTTCCGTGTAACCAAAACACTTCTTCTGACGTGTTTATTCTCAGTCATACAGACAGAAATTGCTATATATGGGACTTTAAATGCAAGGATGCTAAATATCTTCTCTGTTCTGTGGAACAGGTAACTGTTTGATCTGATCTGCAAAACGTTTCAGCATCATAATTGTTTAAGGCTGAAGACCAGATGATCTTTGTTTGCTCAGAAAAGTATGCAGATTGTAGCATAAAATGAGTTAAGAGTTTCTGTCTTGGGTGAAAAATCCAAATGCCAGTGGTGTTGAGAAAAGTCAAGGGCCTGATTGCAACTGTTGCACAGTTTATAATCTGTGGTAGCGAAATGAAATCAACTATTTGAGTGTATCTGGCTTCAGTGAGAACATCCTGGTACCGTTATACAGAAAACCAGTGTGGAGAGGTTTATTAGATACCTGGATTTTCCTGTGACAGGGAGTAGAACTTGTCTGGGTGTTCCGTTGACTGTATCATCTCTAAATGCAGATATGAGCAATTGCTGGTTTGTACTTTTTTTTTTTTTTGCTTTATCACACACAGTCACTAAGCTTATTAAAGTCTCTAGATGTTTGTAGGAAAAACTGGATGCAAGCACAGAGCTCTGCAGCAGAAACCCTTGGGTTTCTGTGTGCCAGTTGTGACTTAATGATACTTGTATAGTGTTTTCCTTGGCAATCTGTTGTAGTCTGATGTAAAATATTTGAATCGTATTTATGACCAAGATAACAGCTATGGACGTGCTTGAGCAACTGTTGCAATTAGCATTCAGCTCATAATGGATGACTAATGGAGTCAATAACTTGGTTTTCTCCCCACCCCCCTGCAAGCTGTGTGAACACAGGCAGTGTAGATCTTTCTGGCATGTTAAAGGGGTTGAATCGATCATGAGTAGTCTGAGTGTTCGAAGTACAAACTGCTTTGTGATATGCCAGGCCAGGAGGGAGAGGTTTTAAGCTGTTATGCTGAGAAGATGTTTCTGACATCCTCTTTGGATGACGAATGCACGAGAGACAAAAGTACAAATTTCTACAAGACATGTGAGGACCAATAACCAAGCTATTGGTTAATTGCAAGGCTACTTTTTGGTGTAAATCATAATTTGAAATGGAAATAGTCTTTGAAAGACAGCTTGCTTGTGTATTTTGTCTCAACGCCATTGGGGACTGTGGACAATAGTGTAAAGATGGTTTGTCAGAGGCTGGCACGGCTGTTCCTGTGTGGAACCATGAATACCCACTTGTCTTCTGTCCTCCTGCCAGTGAGCTTCGGTCCTAACCCTTGGGACAAAGTCATCTCAGTTACCTTCTCTTGTTCTTTGTTCAAGGTTTGCTGCTTTGGGGAACCAGAAGCTCATTTGAAAATTAAATTGAAAGATTTGAAGGAGACTGATGTTTATTGGGGAACTTCCTTTTATTGCTCTCTGTTCTTCTCTTGAAGTGTACCCACAGCATGTGGCTGGCAAATTTCTTGAAAGCTCCTTTTTCACTATTGTCCCCTCAAAATTGTGATTTCATGACATGGATGGAAGAAAGGGGGCATTACACTTGAAAATGTTAAATAAGACTAAAACCTGATGAAACAGCAGTTTTGATTATTTCTCAATTTTAAAAATGTCATTTTGTTTGGTAGCAGCAGGATATTTCACATGAAATAAGGACAGCCAGTTGCTTCTTTAAATCAAGTGTTCTTCCCCAGTTGCCACAATAAATCTTCATACTGCTCTTGGTGAAGTCATTTTTATTGTGTAAAATTAACTATAGATCTCTCTTTTTATTGTCATTATAGAAAACCTAGAATAAACTCTCAGTTGGTGGCACAACAAGTTGCCCAACAATATGCAACCCCACCACCGCCTAAGAAGGAGAAGAAGGAGAAAGTGGAAAAACAAGACAAAGAAAAACCTGACAAAGAGAAGGAAATTAGTCCAAGTGTTACAAAGAAGAACGCTAACAAGAAGACTAAGTAAGTTTGAAGGATGCACTATTAGACGTGGTGTGGTTTCAGCAGCAGTGTGTACTGCAGTACAACTAACATCGTCTTCTCTCCCTCTTCCTTCCAATTCTTACAGACCAAAGTCAGACATTGTGAAAGATCCTCCTAGCGAAGCAAACAGCATACAGTCTGGGAATACTACAACAAAGACCAGCGACTCAAATCACACTTCAAGGTAACTTTATACTATAGTTCAGCTCTTCGTATCTGAGAACTGAGTTAAATAGCAGATACTGTGGTTTTGTTTGGTTTTTTTGGGGATGGACAGAGAGTACTGTCTAACCCACAGGGCCTGCTGGTGTTAGTATGGCAAGACCATCCATCAGTGGCTATGAGCCTTCTCAGTGTACAAGCACTCAGACACTGCTGGTTAGGACAGATACAGGCATTGGAAATATTTGCTCTGTTGTCCACTCAGTTTTCATTTCTCTGCTAAAATAATCATATTGTCAATTGGGCAGTAATGCTTTTGGTGTAAAACACAGTGGGGGAAAAATATTAACCAGCATTTTTACTGGTCTGTAACAAATTTTTATCAGTCGATAGCAGTAACAAAGGTCACTTTCTTACTTCTTTATCCATAGTTCAGTCGCTGTAATTGTTAGTTTTCCAAGTATATTGGATTAAAACCTTGCATAAACAGCTTTGCTAGAATCTTGCTATCAACAAAAAGCATGAATGTGTGGTTTCGTATTTGTCTATGTTTCAGGTGAGTAGCTGTCTGTGGAGAAAGGTTTCTTCCCAGTCTTGCCTGTACCAATACTCCATGCTTGTTTTCTTTAAGTGGTGCCTTGTGCTTTATTTCTTTAATCAAAAATTCAACATCAAAGAGCAGTTTTTATATTATTGAACTTGGAGAGCTACAAGAGGCAGAATTCAACAGGGCACTTTGCCTATGTGGGCTACAGAAGAATTGCATCTCTTTTTAAAACATGCTGTAATAAGTATTTTACAGTGAAGCCACATGAACTGAAGCAGTATTAGTTAGCTGCAAACAGTTGTAAAACACATGGGAAATAGGCTTGCACTGCTGTTAGCATTAAGGCTCGCAAAGCATGACTGCAGAAAACTGTTGTCTTGGAAGTTTTTAAGTAATAGCATGGAAATCTTTAATAATAGTGACTATCCTTTACGTGGTAACTCACTTGAATGTAGCGAGGGCAGTGTGAGATTTGTTCTGCTAGAAGACTGAGCTGTTCGCAGGGACTGCTGTTAACTCTTCCTCAGCCCCCAAAGATCAAAGTGTCCGTTCCTCATTTGATTAGAGAAATACAGCTTTATTGCAGTGATTTATTTTTCTCTGTTCTTTTTGGAATGATACTTATTTTCAGACTTAAGATGCCGGAGACTTGATTCACTTGACTGATGCATAGTATTATATTGATAGATTACATGTAATAATTGGTTTTACTCTTTGAAGGAGTCACTCTGTCTACTCCATAGTCTTTTAGTCTTTTTGTGGCAAGCTTCTGTCATTCCTAATTAATCCTAAATAATATCAGGTCTAGCTGGATGTTGTTAAGGGATACATCATCTCCTTCAGTTCTTAAACAGTCTTTTTAAGTGTTCAGCTTAGTGGAACCTTTCTTGCAGTTCACTGCTCTCAGGAGTGCTGTCTTTTTAAAGGATCTAGTTTTTATACAGTTTACCTGTTCAGATTTTTTTATGCCCAGATTTCTTAACTGTTATTGTAAATTGGCTTTTAAGGATCCCTGGATTTTTAAGAAATTCTTTTTGAACTTTTTGGATCGTTTCTGACAAAATCTTTCGGTCTATTCCATGACATCCTGTGCACTTTCACATTTACTGTTTTGAAACACCTTTCTTACTTGGCCATAAACCCTTTTAGCTATAAACATGAAACGTATGGGTGTTTAATATTGCAGGATAACGTGAATGGGCCCATCCCTTTGCCTTCTATAGGAAATAAAAATTGTGTGCATGTGCTGAAGAGATTGTAGGTTTCCATCTGTGCTTTTTCAGCTCTTTGCACAGGAGAGACCCCTAGAACTGCCTGCAGCAATGGTTGGAGGGCTCGGTTCCAAAACTGACATTGAGAATATGTTAGTGAGCAGGACTCAGCCTTGCTTCTGTCCAGTCCTTCCATGTTAGTTTGTCTTGGCGTTTAAAGGTACAGGGCCATTTCATTTAGGTGCTTGGTGCATGGCTTATCTCAAAGGCTGCTGGTAGCAGGAGCTTTTCTGGGCAGAATGCAGCTTAGGCCATATGAACTCTTTTATTCTTCCTATTTTTTGTCCTCTAAATACCACTATCAGCGCTGACTTTTGACAGGCAATGGCAGGAGCGCATGTTCAGCCTTGTAGAAAGGTGAAGGCAGACAGATCTGTTCTGGTATCTCGGCCAGCATTTTTTTGACTGTTTCTAAGTACAAGAGAAAACAAATGACCCAGGCAAATTACAGGAAGAACTGGGTTTCCTAGAGGAACTTGAGGCTTAGGGAGGAAAATACGTATGTGTACTATGCTTCCGGGAACGCTTGCTGCTGTGTTTGCTACTGATGCTTTGGGGCCAGCCCGCATCTGCTGAGATGCTATCTGAAAGCTGTTGGAAAGCCCAAAACATGCTGATCTAGTCGGCCTTTCTTGTTACCCACAAACAAGGTGACATCATTTCATCTAGCCTGTGGTTTCATGTTGAATTTGCCAGCGCCTGCAAGTGCGTATGTACAACGCATACATATGGGGGTGTGTGTGTCTCACTGCTGCGGGAATTCACTAAGCTCAGCTGTGGGTTTGAAAAGGCTGGTCACTGAACCAAGGGGCTGTTTCAAGTAGGAGGTTTTACTGACAGTTACCCCAGTGCAGCGGTATTTGAATTGTATTTTCTATCTATTAGAAAGGCTTTTCCTGTAGTACTTGGTAAAAATTGAACCAGCCTCCTAGGTTAGGTATGCAAATACTGTTTGTGTTGCAGTAACGTCATTTTGGGTAAGGAAGTTTGCAGAAATGCAGTTGTTCTGTTCTTGAAGCTGTACATCGATTTTGAATACTTTAATCTGTCTAGTTCTAGATTACCACTTGGCTAATGACTACATAAGAACTTTCCCCTTGTTAACTTACCACTGCAGACCACTGAGTGTGCATGGCAAATACCAAGTTTGCCTAATTTCCTCTATTTTTGCTTTGACCACACTAGCCTAATGTGCTACAGACAAGGAGGAGGAAAGGCAGATTGGTTTAAAAGCTGGAGCTTGATCCCAAAGTAAACTAACCTTCTCTCCATCCCTTAGAATAAGGCAGTTCATGGCAAGCTACTTTTCAGTGATGTATAAAGACTCTCCGTTTTAATTTCCCTATTGGGAATATTCCACTGCTTCAGTCTGACCTTTAATTAGGAGCAAAAGCTGTAAATTGCAGCAGTTCCTGCAGCTGACTTGGAATTCTCTGGTAGCTGGAGGAGTGTCCAAGGTCTGTTGTATTAGAGCTTTGGACCAGCCTCTGAAATGTGCATGAATGTCAGCTTCCTAGAGTCTAGACCCTTATTAGCTACATTACTAATTGAATGATAGCACAGCATGCAAATTACCTAGATAATCCTGAGTAATAAATAAGTGTGGTGTGTTCTGGTGGCTTTGATCCCCTCATCCTTTCCCCTAACCAAAAACGCTAGCTGCAAGAAACACTGTTGTACATTCTGGATTTTATTTACAATAGCCTCAGTTCCAGAGGGAACATTTAGAGTGATTTTATACATAGGCTGATTGGGCATCTGATTTGTGTAAGCTCAAAGCAGTTGAAAGAGAAGCCAAGTTGTCCCAGTGCCTGTGTTGTTTGCGGCTGCAGAGTTCCAATATGGGAATGAAATAACTGTGGTCAAATGCTTTCATGTGGTTTTGTATTGCAGAGTCACAGCCTTGTCTCATAACATCAGGGCACATGATGAGATGGTGAATTTAGATAAGAGAACTCTTTCATCTGCCCCTTGGGGAGAAGATCCTTCGGTCTGTCTGGCTTCTGTCCGCTTGGCTCTGCTGTAGTGTCCTCTTTTCTGGCAGAGTTGGATTAGGAATAAGTCCACAGCAGATACCCTTTGCAAGACAGGTCTTTCCTCTGGGGCTGAACATGCTTCTGCAGCCCTCACAGCCCAGGTTGTCGCAGGGAGGCAGGTCAAACCTTCATCTTCTGCTGTGCAGCACTTACTGCTGCCTAGGCTCTCCCAGTTACTGCCATCTGTGCAGGCGAGTGTAGGATAAGTCACATGGAGTTTGTTGTCAAATCCTTTTCCTAATAAACTTTTCCCTTCTCGTTTATTTTTATCTGTCTTATAAATGTTTTCTCATTTCTTTCAGACCCAGACTGAAAAATGTGGACAGAAGTACCGCACAGCAGCTGGCAGTCACAGTGGGAAATGTCACAGTAATTATCACAGACTTTAAAGAAAAGACTCGCTCTTCTTCCACGTCGTCTTCTACAGTGACCTCCAGTGCAGGATCAGAACAACAGAATCAGAGCAGCTCGGGCTCTGAGAGCACAGACAAGGGCTCGTCCCGTTCCTCCACGCCAAAGGGGGACATGTCAGCAGTCAACGACGAATCTTTCTGAAAATTGCACATGCAGTTGTGGAAACTATGAATCAGGGTATGAAATTCAAACACTCCACCTGCCCATGTTGTTCACATCCTGGAGAGCCTCTTCTGTGCTTGAACACACACACTTCTTGGACATCGATCTCTTACTGATGCAACCAGGATAACTTCTGCTTGCCGTGGGCATCTGGCCACCAAGGAATTTCTCACCCTGACGATTACTCTTGACACTTTTATGTATTCCATTGTTTTATATGATTTTCCTAACAATCATTTATAATTGGATGTGCTCCTGAATCTACTTTTTTATAATATCTGCTGTGCACAATTTTCCATGAACATTACAACTTTTTGTTTTGGGGTAGGGAGCGGGTGGGGAGGGAAGGGGGCTTTATTTATTGCATTCACAAACTCCATCCTCTTTCAACATATCCTTTTTAAGTTCAGTTCTTCTTCCAGTTATACTGTGTACTATCAGTTTTGATATAAATTATATATAAATATAT